AAATGGAAAAAGAAGTTAAAACTATCCAAATTTGCAGACAACATGATCTTATACCTAAAGGACCTGAAAAACTCCACCAAAAAACTCCTAAACACTATAAACCGCTTCAATAAAGTAGCAGGATACAGAATCAATTTGCAAAAATCAATAGCCTTTGTATACATCAACAATGAACAGACTGAGAAAGAATAGAGGAAAACAATTCCATTTAAAACAGCTTCAAAGGAAATCAAGTACCTAGGAATAAACTTAACAAAGGATAAGAAAGACATCCACAAGGAAAACTACAAGCTACTGAAGAAAGAAATCAAAGACTACAGAAGATCTCCCATTCTCATAGATTGGCAGAATCAGCACAGTAAAAATGGCTATATTGCCGTAAGTGATCTACATATTCAGTGTAATTACCATCAAAATTCCAATGACATTCATCATAGAGATTGAAAAAACAACCCTAAATTTCATTTAGAAGCAAAAAAAGACTGCAAAAAGTCAAGGCAATACTGAGAAAAAAAGAGCAACACTGGAGGTATCACAATACTCAACTTCAAACTATACTACAGAGCCACATCAATAAAAACAGCATGGTACTGGTGCAAAAACAGATACAAAGACCAGTGAAACAGCATAGAAAGCCAGATATGAATCCATGCAGCTATGCCCATCTAATTTTTGACAAAGATGACAAAACATACAATGGAGAAAAGGTAGCCTCTTCAGCAAACATTGCTGGGAAACCTGGGTATCTGCATTCAAAAAATTGAAACTAGATCCATGTCTTTTACCCTGTACGAGTATTAACTCAAAGTGGTTTAAGGACCTTAATATAAGACCTGAAACTTTGAAGCTAGACAAGAAAAAGAAGGGAATACACTGGAAGCAATAGGCATAGGCAATGACTTCCTCAATAGAACTCAAATGGTTCAGTAACTAAGAGAAAGGATTGACAAATGCAACTATGTGAAATTAAAAAGCTTCTGAACAACAAAAGCAATGGAAACCAAATTGAACAGACTACCCACAGAATGGGAGAAAATCTTTGCAGCTATACATCAGACAAGGACTGTTAATCAGAAAATATGGGGAGCTCAAAAAACTAAACTCCCAAAAAATCAATGACCCAATAAAGAAATTGGCAAATTAACTAAACAGAGCTTTTTCAAAGAAAGAAGTATTTTGACTAAAAACACATGAAAAAATGCTCACCATCCCTGGCCATAAAGGAAACACAAATCAAAACCACGACAAAATTCCACCTCACTCCTACATCCAGGAACACAAATAACAACAAATGTTGGCAAGGTTGTGGGGAAAAGGAACCCTCATACACTGCTGGTGGGAATGTAAATTAGTACATGGAAAACAGTATGAAGGCTCCTCAAAAAACTAAAGCTAGAACTGCCATATGATCCAGCAACACCACTCCTAGAGATATACCTGAAGGAATGTGAGTCAGGTTACAATAAAGGCAACTGCACACCCATGTTTATTGCAGCATGATTCACAATAGCTAAGTTGTGAAATAGCCAAGATGCCCACTACTGACGAATGGATTAAAAAAATGTGGTATTTATAACAATGGAATTCTACTCAGCCACAAAGAAGAATGAAATTTTGTCATTTGCAGGGTATGGATGGAGCTGGAAAACATCATCTTAAGTGAAGTTACCCAGGTTCAGAAGGACAAAAGTCAATGTTCTGTCTCATATGCGGAATATAAAACATACAAATATAACAATATTATGAAAATCAGATCACACTAAGAAGAGGTCACACAAAGGGGTAGGTTAAAAGAAGGAAACTAAGAGGTGAATATGGTTGATGTACTCTATACAAGAATGAATACAGAATTTTTAAACCAGTTGAAACCACCATAAGAAAGGGACTGTGGTAGAATGAAGAAAAATAGAGGAGGTGAACCAATTTGGCTTATAATACATATATACATGTAAATATCAAAAGAAAACTCCCTATATAGCTACATAAATAAGCAAAATGTCATTTATTTCTCTCTTTTTTGTTTTTTCTTCTACAAAATCAGAGAACAGGAGGGCAGAACAGGTCCTGCTAGGGGTGAGGCAGTGGGGAGCGTATAAGTACCTTTGGGGAGGTGGCAGGGAAAGAGGATAGCAGGGTGAATATGGTACAAATATTGTATACTCATGTATGTAAATACAAAAATGATACCTGTTGAAACTATTCCAGGAGTTGGAGGGGGGGAATAAAGGAGAGCAGTGGAGGGGGTGAATTCAAGTATGATATATTTGATACATTGTAAGAACTTTTATAAATGCCACAATGTATTCTCACCCAACACAACAATAAAAAAATTAAGTCCAACAAATCTATTTACTAGTATAGAATGATATGGGGTAGCTTAATTTTTCCTATAAACATTCAGAGGCAATATCACTCACTAAAATGCAAAGGAGTAAGAATACAATTTGTTTTCTCTATATGGATTCTTTCACTTGACATAAAGGTTTTGATGTTTCTCAAAAAAAAAAAAAAAGACAGAGAGAAAAGCTGAGTATGTTATCCCTTTAGGAGCAACAGTACACAGAAATTCAAAATTTCTGAACTGTCCCCATGGTACGTGTGTGTTTGTATCATTTCTCTTAACTTTACCAATTTGCTCTGATAATTGCCAAAACACATTTAAAAATAATCAAAGTATGATCTTCTGGGATATAGCTCTTGGTAGGTATAAAATAATGAGCCATTTCTTTCACATAACCAGAATACTTGCAGATACCAAGAAACTAAGGAAATTTACACTAAAAAGAAAACTAGATAGCATGCCACCTAGAATCTTTTAATGCCCCTAAAAACTTACCATTTGTTATCGCATTAAAGACTGAAGAACTGGAAAGAATTTAAAGCAAAATACACCAACTCCCTTAGATTTCTCCTGAGCCTGTGTCATTTCTAAGTGTACAATTATATGTGTGTGTATACTAGAGACCATCTGCCAGAGCAGCCTTTGGGAGGCCCTCATTAAGCTGGGCTCAAGGAAGTGAGCATACCTATTAGGTATCTTACCATCACATTTGTTAAGGTTCTTCCCTCATGAATCTCACCTGGTATATGCCAGAATGATAAAAACAAGTTCAGGCACAGAACACATCCCCATTTTCCATATAAAATAACATCTGCCTTTTCCCATGCTGACTCTGCAAGACAGCTTATTTACAAATATATAAATAGCTGCAACTTCACTCCAGTCTCATTGAAAAATCAAAATGGCATCATGCAGGAGAAGCATCCTAGCATACTTGGCTGGTGAGTGAAATGTAAGTGGAGATGAGCCAAACGACTTGACTTGATACTCGCTAGTCAGCTTAACCAGATACCCTCCAGTTTCCTGTAGTGAAGAGCCCAGGGCTCTGCTCCACCAAGCTGGAGAATGCACTTACACTGATTGCCCAGGAATTGGGTAGTGATTTAGAATGAAAGACCGGAAAATAAATTTCAAGTTATAACATTTATAATCTCATGGATTCTAAAGGGAATAGCATTTCCTAAAAACGGTAGTAAGTTTTTCCAATGTTGCTATTTAAAATTAACTAAGTCTTCTTTCATACAAGTACAATGAATTTTTAAACTATTTCACTCCAGTTCCTTATATCATCTGGCCAGAATTTAGGGATTTAAATTGGCAGAAAGAAAGCAGGAAGAAAAAAATGCATCTTCATTTATGGAACAGAATTACTGCCTTTTCTAAATCTATTAATCAAAATTATCTACTACTAGTTAAGAAAAAACATATATGGGAGATACTCTTCTTACATCACATACATACCCAAACACGGAACCACTGTACTATCCTCAACACCCACTTGTAAAATCACACATTATAGCATAGGGCTATACAGTTATGTCTGCTGAAGCACCCCACCTGATGATCACCTGTATCCTCCCCAATATCAAATTACTCTGTTCCTTTAACACTCTTCTTTCTTGCCAGTTTACTCTCTTACAATTTACTTTTAAGGAACCATGTAATTAAACTAAAATTCCCTAAATCATCACAGAACAGGAGGTTTTAAAAAGAAACTTTTGTCAAGGAAAAAATGTTAGGAATCTAGATTGTACAAAGCATTTGAGAATAGGCAATGAGATGACTGATGCTATTTCTCTTTGAGAAATCAAATGTTGAGGTTCTTAACAACTGTGTCTGAAACTTAAATATTAGGCTACTCATCAGGAAATGAGAAATCCACATACGTTTTCACGCAGACATCTATGTTGCACATTAAGACGAATGGACTTTTGATGACTTTTCATTGCAGGAGTATTCATATAGAAGAATGCTCATATTTGTCTCAAGGAATAATACCATGAATATAGGCCACCCATCTTCCTAATGACTAGCTTTCTGAATTTCTATCAATTCATCCTCAAATTCTTGCCAACCATACTGGATTGTTGTCTCGTATAGTTATTTATCAACTGTTACTATTTAAATGGCAAGAGATTTTTTTTCAAAGGTAAACTAATATAGGAAATTTTTGGTAAATTCATTTTGAAATGAAATGAGTATCAAGATCAAAAATAAAACTACTGTACTCTGTACAGTATATGAGGTATACACCTAATGCTAAACACTTTAATTTATCATGAAGCATAGTAAATATAGGATAAATGCAACGAGTATCAGTCTTTTGTCTCTTTTTATACACCAATGTGTCTTCTTTTCCAAAGTTCACATTTTAAAACCCAATATTGGTTCTGTTTACTTTAGCCGTAAATACTATTTCTTGAGAACTGTACTTAATTGCCATTCTCTAAAGATTATACTTCTGGACACAATATACAATATAAAACAAAGATCAGATTGCAAAGATTTTTATAAATAACAAATACGTAAACAGCTCATTTACTACAATATTCTATTGGAGCTGATACTATTGAGAAGTTTTTATATTTTTAACAACTTATTTGGAATCTCCTTAAAAAATAATTTTAATTTATTATTAAAAAGTAAAGAAAATACTTACATAGTATCTCTGATAAGAAGTCCATTTCCCAATCTGAAACAGGTTTTACCACCTTCACAAAATGCACGTCTCAGAGAAAAGCTCTCTCCTAGATCAAAACCTATAAAATGTGACACATCATTTAATCTTTACTTTTTAAAGATAGTAAACTCACAGAAATATTGATTTTTAACAGGATTTTTGTTGTCCTTATCTATAAGCAGAAATTATTTCAAATAAAATCCTGCTGCTTGAGATCAGCAAAATTTCTTTCTTTTTTCTTTTTTTGGTGGAATTGGGGCTTGAATTCATGGCCTACATCTTAACGCACTACACTTGCCCTTTCTGTGAAGGGTTTTTTCGAGATGGGTCTCACAAACTATTTGAACAGGCTGGCTTTGAACTGCCATCCTCCTGATCTCTGCCTCCTGAGTAGCTAGCACTACAGGTGTGAGCCACCAGCTCCCAGCATCAGCAAAATGTCTTGATTTCATTTTTTCCTTTTAGGGTACCAAAGGATGAGATTCATTTCCATACAGTATGTATAGCCATCTTCATGAAGGAAATTCACAAATATATTTCAAAAGACTCAAACACTAATTTCTTTTGGCCTAGAGATTACCCTAAGTAAGTAGAGTAGTTCATTGTAGTATCTCTGAAGTGTAAAGACAGAAAATTAATCAGACAAAAAATAAGATGGTTATTCACTTTAAATTTAGACAGTCTTTCACAAAGCCATGTGTTAGGAAAATTATATTGATGTGGGAAAATGCTGGGAATTCAAATGCAATATATGTATTATCATTGTGTATATGTGTGTGACAGAGAGTGAGAGAGAGAGAAAGAAACAGAGAGAGAGAGAGGAGGAGGAGGAAGAGAGGAGAGAAATAAAAAGATAGGAATGTTAGTTGAGTTTGGTCGTGCAAGTCTGAACTCCCAGAAGGCTAAGGCAAAGGGATCACAAGTTTAAAGTCAGCCTGGGCTACACTATCTCACACACACACACACACACACACACACACACACACACACACACACACAACTGAGAAAAGGAGGAGGGGGAGGGGAAGAGAAGAAGAGGAAGAGGAGGAGGAAGAAGAGAAGGTGAGGGTTAGGGAGAACGATAGGAATGTTACACCGAAATAGTAATCATGACTGGTTGAGGTCTTCTTTCTCATAATTTTTTTTCTCTTTCAGACTTTTTACCATGGATACAACTTTCATAATGTCAAATAACTTTTTTTTTCCCAACAGGCTGAGGTGTTGTTAATCTTAGATTAAACAATACAGAACTCTGCTCTCAGCATTTTTTTCTACAGCATCTGCTTTTATTTCTTTGTCAATGCTAGATCTCAAATTGAAATGCCAAAGAATCACCTACAGTGTGCTGCGTACCTGGTGATAATTTCACACGAAGGATTACAATGCTTACCTGAAACTTCAGGTTTATTTCTGTTGTCTTGTATAAACTGATATCCCTCTGTTCTCAGTGTAGGACATGGTTTTTCTATTTAAAAAAAAGTACACATTATTTGTACAATATTTTCCATCAAACTTCTTCAAATAAAATTAATCCTTCCATACAATCTGAAACTTCAGATTAAAATGAAGATAAAAATAATTAAATAATTTTATTAAATTTCTGTATAATAAGGTTAAGGTTACTACTCTCCTCACAGTGTGTCTGTGAGGATTTCAGATGTTTATTTGTATAAATTATTTAGAATCTTGCCTGGAATATAATGTTAGTTTTAGATATTATTATTATTATTGCCACTATTATGTGAACATTATTCATTCTTATAATTTGACATTAGGAAATCAGCTAACTTAACTACATCATTAAACTTTCCAAAGTATATTCTAGTAAAAACAAGTGAGCAACTACTACATTTTGACATAAATTTCATTCAAGTTTTGGTGTCAGGTGATATTAAACTTTAGAATAGAAGGGATCATGAATGGAAATAACTACGGTAAAATTGAAGAGTCAAATAGTGAAGATCTCTGCCATACAAAAGTAATCTATAATGAAAACAAAAAGATAAAAGCATCAAGAAAGTATTAATGATGTGCAAATTTTTAGCGATACTTAAAAAAATAAAAGACATTCTCCATTCACAGTGAACTTACACGTCAATACTACCTCAGTAATGCATAGTCCTGCACTAATTTTTAAACATCTGGGGCTATATTTAAATCTAATTCAGGCTAGAGTCTAGTAATATAACAATTCATCCACACAAAACTGCTGCCTATTTTCAGATAATGTCATGGTAACTATATGACTAGACAGCTAAGATCTTAAACTAAATCAATTAAATATTTTGACATCATGCAATCTCAAGTTTAATTCTCCATGTCTAAAATTTATGTTTGAGTTTCATGACTTAAAAAATTTTAATGTAGACAGGAGATTTATAACCAAATCGATCTTCTGCTCTGTGGGAAGTGGAAATTGCTGATTCTCCAGTTCAACTGCTGAGCACTTCAGCACATCATTTGATAAATATATCACAGACTTCAGAGGTGGTGACAAGGCATCACTTAACATATTTAACTGAGAGAACAAATTATATTCTAAATAGTACAATCACTTAAATTTAAAAGTATAAAGCAAAACCCTGCAATATTATATATATTTTGAATACACTGAATAATTTTAGAGGTTGCTTGACTACTTAGGAAATTCCTACCCCAGAGAACTTAACATGACTTCAGAATGTAAATAATATTAAATTAATAGCAAATAATAAATGATCATAAATGTGAAAAGTAACGCAATAGAGCAGAAGCAGGTAAAACATAAAATCTTCACAAACTTGGAAAGGAACAGAGTAAGTGTTGCAAAGTAAAATTCTGATAAATGGGACTTTATTGAAATTAAAGTTTTTATTAATCAAAGGACAGCATTAGAAGTGTGAAAAGGCAAGCCATAGACTAAGAGAAGTTATTCAAAATACATACATCTAAAAGCTAAAAGACAAGACATAGATCAGGAGAAGATATTTGCCACACATATATTCAATATAGTATCACATCCATAATAAAAAAGAGCTCCCACAAATCAATAAGAAAAAGATTGTAAAGCTTTTTTAAATGTGTGCAAAACTAAAAACAAACAAAAAATGACCTGTAAGCACTTCGCAAAAGAAAATGCAAAAACAAAACTTGTAAACAGCTCACAAAAGAGAAGAGAATACCCAAATTTCCAACCCGCATATCAAGGTGCACAAAATTATCAATGATCAAGGAAATACAGAGAAAAACTATGAAGAGCTACCATTAAATGGCTAAAATTAAAGAACTGACAGCACCAAGTGTTGATGAGGATACGATGAGGAATGAATGGAATTCATGTTTTCAATAATATCTATAAGTATTTTGTCACTCAAACAATAGCTCTTCTATATTCCTTGTAGTAGTGTAAATTAATATGACCTCTTTAGAAAACTGTTTGGCAGTATTTGCTAAGGCTAAATATACATAAACTCTATGACTTAGAAATTCAATGACCCAAGAAAACTGACAGTGAAGGGAATTAGTGTAGATGTCCCTTTTAGATAAGAATATTCATGATGGCATTATAAATAATAGACTAAAACTGGAAACAACCCAATAATTCATCAACAAGAGAATAAATTGTGGTATAAACAGCAAAAAACAACATAGCAATAAAACGAGTGAACTAATAACATATGCAACAACTGGATGATCTTCACAGATATAATATTAAGAGGAAAAACATCATTTTCCCTAAATACATATCCTGATTCCATATATATTAAATTCAAGAGATTATACAACTAATCTGTGTCACAGTAGTGGTTATCTTGGTAAGGTGACAACTGGGAGCAGGTACAAAGAAACTTTCTGGGATTCTGGAAACATTCTATATTTTGATCTGAGTGACAGTTATACAAGTATATAAACACATAGGTAGAAATTCATTACATTGTACACTTAACATTTGTTGATCTTAATGTGTATCATACCTCAACAAAAGGAGGAAAATGGAGTCTCTAAGAAAATATTTTGATCTAAAATAATTCTTCTAAAATGTAAATAAAACCCCTAACTTATGATTAAATTTATATAATGGCTACAAATGATTTTATATATATATATTAATTCCATATATATATATATATATATATATATACACACACACACACACACATATATATATATATGGAAGCCTCAATAGATGATTGGCAAAGTAAATCTCAAGAGAGCAGAAAGGAACTTCCCACTTTGGTACTTGGGTAATTAGGGGAAGGTATGATGGACTATTTCCAAGTTGGAAACAGTATATAGCTTATTTAAATTCTCCCAAGGACTCAGTGAATATATGATAATGTTCAAAGAATAAACCTGTCATTTTGAAATGAATGGAACTCAACATTTCCAGTAATATTTATGTATTTGTCCACAAAAGAATTTGGTTTATGAAAATCAAATGTCATTTCATATCTTTAGAACATGTGCTTTGTTGTGAAAAGCTGAAAGAAACAAGTTAAAACTAAGTGTTAATTATTTGGCAGTAAGATTTAAGGCACAATAATCTGAATACATGAAGTTTTATGAACCCGCTGCATAAAGATGGCAAAGCAGTGAAAATGGCTACCACAGGTTGGATATGTTAATTTATTTAAATGTAAACATATAAATATAGATTTTAATATTAATGTGCCTTAGAGATTTACAGATAAAGACTCAAATATTGCTTCAGGTAGGCAAAGACCAAGCACCACCATCACAGTTTTGCTTCAAAGGCTCTCTGGAATTTCAAAAATGATGACTAAAATTTTACCACAGAAGATGTACTGCTTAGAGAAGTAACGAACAGGTTCTTTCAAAAGCAATACAGGGTCTTTAACAAATTCCGCTAAGATATTAGTGTTAATGGTTGTCACACCCACTTTCTTTCTCACTTGGCTTGCAGGACCTGGGCAATTTACAGGGTTGGATGAGTACTGCCAAGAGCCATAGGAAAAAGAAAAGCAGGCTATCAAGGTCAGATTTTCACATCGCATAACTGTACCTAGATTACACACAAAGAAAGTACATACTTCTTGATATTTTTTGCCCCCTCCCTCCTTCTAAAATTTAGAGTCCGTGGCACTTGACAACAAGTTATCAAAGAATGGATTACATAGCTGCTTCATGATAGAGTTGAAATTAAACATCTTTTCCATAAGCCAACTTTTCCCTGCCACAGTGAATACTTCCTCTTCAACAACACATCTTAAACAAAATAATAGCAAACCCAAAGCGACTCTCATCATTCTTTAGAAGAAACGAATTTTGCTTCCACTGCCTGTTCTAAACATGTGCTTAAATAATAAGCTTCCCTTACACACACACCACACACACACACACACACACACACAATCACCTTTCCCCTTGATCTCTAAATCCTTCTACTATTGTTTTTATCTGCTGGCATAGCCTCCTATACTTTCATTTTTAAAATTAAATTTATTTTTAATTGATTGGAAACATAAAAATTGTACATATTAATGGGGTAACAGGCAAGGATTTCTGGAGATGTCCCTAAAACACAGGAAACAAAAGCAAAAATAGATAAATGGGAATGCATCACACTAAAAAGCTTCTGTACATCTTACATCATTTGAAACATATTTTTCTCTATATTTTTCTGTTTTTTTTTTCTTTGGTGGTACTTGAGTTTTGAACTCAGGGCCAGGGTTTGCTAGGCAGGTGCTCTACTGCTTAAGCCATACCACCAACTGTTTCAAATTTAGTTATTTTTCAAATAGGGTCTTACATTTATACCTAGGAGGGCTTAGACCACAATCCCCTATTTATGTGCTTCCTGAATAGCTGGGGTAACTGCACATGCCACCACATCCAGCTTGTATTGCTTGAGAGGAGGTCTTGAGAACTTTTTGCCAATCTCCCAATTCTCCCAATCTCCACCTCCGTGTAGCTAGGATTACAGCCATCTGGTATTTTCCACAGCCGTTTACATAAAAGCCTCCAGTTCAACATGGTCTTCACTGAAAGTATGTCCATGTTCCTCTTTTTCATTTTTATTATATACTGAAAGTATGTTGAATTCCCTTTCTTCTCTCAGAGAGCTATGGTGAGCTAAAATTTATCCATTTTATATTTTCAAATGATTTTTTATTCCTAAACGATGTGTGCATGCTTCCATGCTTACACTGAAAATGGACTAGTCATTTCTGTGACTCTGACCTTAGGAAAAGCTAGGTGAGGTCATTCCATGCACACTACAGAGGCAAAGGAGAAAGCAAAGGTACAGAAATCATGGGTGACTAGTGTAAACATGTTCTGTTGCACTCTTTATAGTTCATTGAGCGTTTTTAGTCTTACATTATTTATATATTACTTTACTGACTGCAGAGAAAGAAAGCATTTAATTTGGCAATGATATAATTTATATCTTAACTTTGTTAAAGTATGCAGATATCCATATATCTGCACTTTAGTAATAATGTATTATGAGTGATAGAGTACATT